TCAGTGGTGTACTTAGAAATTATTAAATAAAAATGCCTTGTAATAGAATTCAGTGGTGAATCAGTGTAGATCACAATAAGTGTAAAAAAGATGCTTAGAGTTTGTGAATTTGCATCTCCAAAGATAAAGTTGTTCCTAAGAGAAAAGTGGCCTAAAATAATGAGGAATGTGTAAACCAAAGCATTTCAAATAGAGCTGTCACTGCCGAAGTTCTCAACAATGAGCTAAAGAGAAATGTGGAACATATGCTCTTTCTTGAAGCCTGTTTCTATAGCTTTGAATAAAATGGCAGGAAGATGACTCTTCCCTTTTAGAGCAGTGATTTTCAACGTGGGCAATTTTGCCCACCCGTACCCCCAGCGGACATTTGGCAGTGTCTGGAGACATTTTGGTTGTCACAATGGGCAGGGGAGGGTGTTGGTGATGGCTGCTACAAAGTACGGGACAGCTCCCAGCACAAAGAGTTATCCAGCCGAAAATGTCAAAACGCTGAGTTAGTCACTGCAAAGGTTAATATGCAGTAACTGAAATCTTTTATAGACATTTCAAGAAATGTCTTCATATAAGTTTTTTTTCTCTCTAAGAAGTTGAGGGCATTCTTAATATTTGATAGGTAAAAGCCTTAACTGCTGAAAAGACTGGCCACATAGTTAAGGCAGTCAGAATTCTTTAATAGTAATGAGAATTAACTATCTAAATGGGATTTTTTTCAAAGTGACCCCAGAATATTAGTGGAAGTTACTTTAGAACCCGAATTCATGAGATGACTATTCTATCCATTCATTCCTTTAACATAAATGCTTATTAGGTGTCTACTCTGTGCTGGGCACTCCGGAAGGTAACAGGGATTCAAAGATGAGTAGGATTTTGACTCTGTCCTAAAGTTCCAAAACCATTTCTCCTGACACAGGATTCTAAGGCTTTTGGAGACAAACCCTGGATGGTCAGAGAAGCAGCCCCTAATCAAACATGAATATATTTTCTTTTAGGAAACCCCTAGAGATACTCCATAGAACCTTAGATTGCCGGGTCTGATGCCTTTGAAAACTGTTTGCCCTAATGACCTCCCAGGCCCTTAGCAATCTTTTGATTCTATGAGTTTTCTACAGCACTCTTAATTCACAGCAATATAAGAGAGAAATTCAATATGTTTTCAACAAAACGATTTCAGTTAGTATCCTTTTGACCTGGTCCTTGAAATGAAATGTTTCAGCAGTAATCTAACTCAATTAGACCAGTGCTTCTGGGATGCTCTCTAGAGGACTTGTGAAAACACAGATTGCTGGGGCCTATCCCCAGAGTTTCTGATTCAGCAGATCTGAGGCGAGGCCTGAGAATTGCATTTCTCACAAGTTCTCAGGTTCTGTTGATGCCGCTGGTCTGACCACACTCTAAGAACCACTTCTCTGTAACAACAACAAAAAAAGCTATGATATCTAACTGGAAAGTTCTCAAAGCTAGCAATTATGATATAATTTTCTCAGATAAATGATCTAAAGGTAACTTGAGATCTGAATATTTTTTATAGCTAACCTCATTAAGTCTGATAACATTAGGAGAGTAATATTCTGTTCGATGAAACTGAAGCTAAATCTTCATGCACAAACCAGAGTAGCGTACAGTTGTGAATGCCCTGTGCAAACTAATGTACAATAATAGTCTAAGTTAGAAATTGGAGCACTTAGAGAAACCTGAAGGTTGCATCATAAATATCAGATGCTTCCTTGATGAATATCACTAGTCTAAAAATATTTTCCAACTACTCATGTCAAGTAGGAATCACCTCTGAAATATTTTGTCAGCAATTACAGGCATGAGGTAGAAAGGAGAGGGTTGAAAGGGAACGGCTAGACAGAATCAATATTCCTGGAGATATTGGCAAAAACCACACTGTGGTCATCAAAACATGCCCTTTCTCTTCCTTGGCACATGATTAGACCCTGTTCCTCAGTCACCTCTGCACTTAGGTGTGTCCATGGGGCTGAAATCAGCCAATGAAACTTGGATGGAAGTGATATCAGGCTGGTCCCAGAAAAACCTTCCATAGGAAAGCCTCTTCCCTCTCTTCTTAACCCCGCTTTTGCCCTCTGGATGTTGATACCCAGAGTGACCTTGAAAGTCAGGCTTTGAAGATGGCTGAGTCTCTGTCAGCCTGGGTTCCTGAATGACTGCACAGAGCTCACACACACACACACACACACACACACACACACACACACACACACGCAGACCACTACCGCCATCATCATTCCTACCACCAATTGTACTTTAAGTGAATGATAAATAACTTTATATTAAGCCATTGATTTTTCCAGGTTCATCTGTTGTTACAACTGCTAGCATTACTTGCCATGCTTGCAAGCTGTTGCATGCTTAGTTACAAAGAGAAGGAGCCATAGTGACGGGAAGAGCAGGTGACTTTTCAAGAGGGTGGCTCTTTTTCTCGATACTAAACCTGCTTTTCGTGCTCCTTCATGTGTCTCCTTTACATTGAAATTTGAAGAGAATTCTCAAACAACTTGAGTCCAGAATTTAAAATTCCTCATCTGTCAAAGGGGCAAAAAAGACTGATTTGCAGTTCTTTTTTCCATTCTTCTAGCAAAGGCTAGCCTTTGTACCAGGTAATAGATAAGGGAGAATTTTTAAAAATCATAAAGCTAAAGAGCTAAGGAAATGAAAAAGGACAGAGGGCACATTCAGTAAACTCCCTGATTGTCAAAAGTGGATAATATTATCATCGATGTCTTAGGATCAAGAAACTAAAGTTTATGGTTTATCTATGACCAGATGATCTCCTAGTCTTCTAAATACTATGGGAGAAAGTTAAAACAGTTATCCTAAAGCAGTATTTAGAATACATGAACATTTTAAATGATTTTTAAAAATCTTTTAGACATAACAATTATATAAAATAATAGAATTTTAAAGGTAATTTCATTCACAAACTTTGTTTTACAAATGAGGTAATTAAGCTCTAGATAAGTTAAATTGTTCAAGATCGTACTACTTAGTTAGCGGCAGATGAGGAACTAAGAGCTCTCTGTTCTGTCTCCAGGCAATGTTTTTTCCACCACAGTACACTCTCTGTTGCCCATAAACTACTTGCCCATTATCTTTAAGCAAAAACAAACAAACTGAAAACCCCCACACACAGCGCCTCAAAACCTAAACTCTTCAATTCTTCCTCTTACCTCTCCGCCTAGTATTTAACTATTTGTGCCTCTTCTAGCCACCTGAAACCCTTGCAATCTCCAGGACTGGGATAGTATCTTACTAATCTCTATATTCACAGCACCTAATATAATGCTTTGCACAGACACTCAAAAAATGTTAATGAAACTGAATTGGAATGCCAAACCAAGATTAAGCCCCTGTCTAATTACTCCTTGAGTTTTATCAGTTTTTTCTGTCTGCCCCCTCCCTACTATATAGCCTGTGAAGTATTCTCATTTCCACTAATATTGCACTTGGTCAGACCAGTAAGATGGACTGTCTCAGCCCCTTCCCTCCACCTGATCCCATGACAGTTCCTTCTGCATGTGGCCACCTGAGTGTTTTTTTTTCTAAAACAAATCTAATAGAGATTAGGTCCTCTGCTTAAAATGCTTCCGTTTCTTTACTTCATTAAATAAGTCTGGGCCAGGCACTCACTGGGTACTGGGGATAAAATAGAGAAAATCTTGGACATGGGGCTTTCTACCAGGTTCCTATGGTATAATTAGGGTGGGGGACAAGCTTTGCACTCAGCAATTGCAATACAGTGGAGTGTTTCAAAGGGGGAAGGCCAGGGTACTGTAGGAGCACTTAAGAGTGCCTAACCCACAGTTTTGGTAGCGACGGGTGGTGGGGTCAGAAGATTTCCTGAAGGACACATCTTTTAGGCCAAGATTGAAAAAAAGTGGGAGTCAGCCAAGAGAAGACAGGGCAAGAGTGTTCTACACAGAGAGAATAGCACGTGCAAAGATGAAGAGATGAGTGCATGACTGCCCTAGGGACCTGAATGGAAGGTCAGCATGGCCAGGTACTCCTGGGTAAAGATGAGTCTGCAGAGGATAGGAGGACCATATCATGAAGGATCTTTCAAACAATGCTAAAACATCTGGGCTTTATATAAGGATATTGGGAGACATTAAAAGATTTTAAGCATGGGCAGTGCCATTAGCAGATTTGAGTATTGGAGTTTCAAAAAGATCACTCTGGGTGAAATGTGGTTAATTGCAGGATATAGCATAGTCAGAATTTAGTTGAAGATAAAAGCAAATCATTGTAACTGATACAAACAGAAGCAGTCTAAAAATTGTTACAGGAGAGTGGGGTCCTCTCCCGGCGTATCGTCCACGTTCTTGATGTCTCGAACAAAGAATTGAGCAAGACACCAAAATACAGTAGAAAAGTTTTATTAGAAAGGAAAGTACACTTCTACATGCGGAAGCGGACCTGATCAAGAGAAGCGTGGTTCGAAAGGCCTAGTAACACAGCCTTCAGGGGTTTTTATCCCTTTTTGCTGTGGGTGGTTACTTTTGTTAGAGGAGTGGGCTTCCTTGATTGACAACTAAGATCGACAGGACTCAGTGATTCATCATTTTGCTTTCTGCGCATGTTTGTTCCCAGAATTCAGTCTGTTGTAATGATATTAATGAACTTCCGAGCATATGCATTATATTATAATGATGGTATAATGAGGCTCAGGTGAGGTGAAAGTCGTTGGGGTCTTCATTGCGCAGGTGCGGA